TCTCCTGCTCCTCCCTCATATGCCCAAGACAGTATGACCAACTGTGAATACAGTTCATGCCCACATGTGAACTTGTGTGGTTCTCTTGTAGTAAGCTGCCACGTGTGTACTTGCACGTGTTGTGTACATGTGTGTGTGTGTGTGTGTGTGTGTGTGTGTGTGTGTGTGTGTGTGTGTGTGTGTGTGTGTGCGTGTGTGTGTATCTATGGGACTGCGTTCTCCTATTCTCTCTCCGGTGCCTTCGAGGCCCACGCAACCCTTGTGGCATTGGCTCGACAGCACAGGGCAGGAGTGTGCGCGCGTGCATGTGTATATGTGGGTGGGTGTGCGCGCGCACGCGCGCGTGTGCATGCGCATGTGTGGGTGGGTGTGCGCGCGCGCGCGGGTGTGCGCGCGTGTGCGCACGCTGATGCTCAGCTCTCCAGAATTATGTCCGTGTGCGTAGCCAGTGTATGGTGGCAACATAGCCTTCCTTCATGTATATGTGTATGCGCATACTATTTGGGATGCTTTACTGTTTTTGGTGGGATCCAGTTACATAGTTTTCTGTTCAATTATTTATGTTTATACGGCTGCTGTACTTGTAGTGCAACTTTATGTCTTTCTGCTGGTCAATTTGTCGTCTTGATGGTGTTCTAAATTCTAATACTGATATACATAGAAAATATTACCCTCAGAAAGTGTGCTCGTTGTGAAGTTGTCCTTCTTTGGGCTCAAACCATTGCTCGTGTATAGGTAGATACATATCAGTGGGTTCGATTGGTGGCGAGAGGTCAGCCTAAATTGTTTGGGGCGGAATTCGGCACGAAATCCACGCTGAGTACTTTTTGACGACCTTGAAAACTCTGGCGAGAAAGCGAGGAAAATGATGTCGCTTGGAGCTTTCCGCGAAACTTAGGGCAGCTAATGCCCGCACCTTCCCAAACATTGCCTTGGAACAAGACGATACCACCAGGGAAGCTCTTGTGAGCAAGGGATAAAATAGTCTCTTTTTGGCGATATTGAGCTGAGTTTCAAATTTCCCGGGCCTTGGGTCGGATTTGGAAAATAAAAGTGCAACTTTTAGGGCTCTTTTTCGGTGCTGGCGCTTCGCCTGCGCAAGTAGCTACCCAGGCCAACGGAACAAAAGGAGACAAAAGGTGAGTACGCAAGTGCATGCAGGCCAGCTAGAAAAGGTACGGGAGGTGGTACCTAACAGTATGTACACTGTATATCATGTGCACATTCACATGTCTGAAGGTTTGTGGTTTTTCAATAAAAAAAATACTCCATAGCTCCGTGGTTAGAGCATAACTGGCCTCAAAACGTCAAGCGTAGGTCCCTGGTTCGAGTCCTGCCTCCTGGTGGTGACAGACAGACAGGCAATATTTTCAGACTTTTCCCTTTTCCATTCCCTGAACTTTTGAACGATAGCGAATGTGATTATGTCCCTGGTTTGAGCCCTGGGCCACTAGGCACTGGCGGATAATGCTCGAAAAGGTGGCACATTCTGCTCGAAAAGCAGTGAAATAATATTGGCAGAACCATACAAACCTTATGGCGAGCAATTCCTCGAATTCTGCTCCATTTCTTTATCCACATACCAAACATGCATGAAACCTACCAGAAAAAGTACCGAATTCTGCCAATTTTTCTGCCGGCATTATCCGCATAGGCCCCTGGTGCCCCAGTGGTCGTGACAGTCATGTTTTTCTTCAGATTGTTTCCCTTTTATCTCCCTCACTTTTTTTATTGGAGTAGAAAAGAGCTGGTTCCCAAGTTCCGTGCTCTGAGAAGCAAAGGCGTCAAATGCCACCTTCCACGTGATGCCATTACACTGAACGGTAAACACTTGACATCCCAGGACATTGCCCGCCTCCTGACCACACAGAGCCAATAGGAAACAGCCCGGGCATCCCCAACACCACACAAGAGATCTGCAACTGCCACGGCTACCACTACTGCACCGTCTACCAGCACGATCAGTATTGCTCATTTATCACCAGCATCAACAGCTACAACTCGAAAGCTAAGTATTGCTCATATTAATGTATGTAGTCTTTATAATAAATTGCATGAGATCAAATCACTTCTACATGCTCATAATATTGATGTATTGACCCTCACTGAAACATGGTTGACCGACACTGTTCCTGATAACTGTATAAACATACCGAACTACACCGTGCACAGACAGGACAGGCAGACTGGGAGAGGAGGCGGTGTCTGCATGTATGTTAGAGATGAGTATGATAATCGGAGATTACACCACTCCTCAGACGTGGAAGTGTTTGTTGTGCAGATAAATGTATGCCAACAACCATTGACCATATTCGGCGTTTACCGAGCGCCAGCGGTACCTATAAGCTTCTGGTCGATCCTCACTGACTTGATCGACGACTCGCTGAGACGTGCACCAGCCTCCACCTGCTCTATTGTTCTAGGAGATTTCAATGTGAATGTACAAGATCCTAATCATACACACTACTCTCATCTACAAACACTCTGTAGTGATTTCGACCTCCGAAATGTTGTCACCTCACCAACCAGATATCCAAGCGGAACAACGATAGATCTAGTATTAGTACCCAACTCCACTTTCACCACACCACCTGCAGTACTCAGCGGGACTGATATTGTCTTCAGCAGTTCGACTGTAATTGCGTGTGATATTTCAGACCATAATCTGGTTCATGTTCATTTCACCGTCCATTCTGATGCTCAGCCACACCAGACGAGTAGACAAATACAGATACGTAAGCCA